CCTAAACTTGCCCACGAAGGACAGGCAACTGTCTTCAATAACTTATTTACTTTAAAGGAAAATCCCCTTTTTAACTTCTCCCAGGCTGACTGTAATCTAACCCTTACTGATGTGGGCTCCGCTACCGGGTCGAACTGCGTCTCGAAGCACCGAGTGGACCTACCAGTAAAGGCTTAGATATTCTCCAGCTGGAGTTCTTTGGTCTTCCAAACTGTTCACCCTCTGAAATTCCTCAAAGCTTTAGGGCTGCTTCCCTGGAAATCTTTGGGTGCTCTTAAGACTGTTCTTCCCCGAAAGGTCTTAAGGGTTGAAGCCTTTGTACAGGGGAAGCTTGCACACAGCCTGTACATTAGTTTTCCTTGCTGAGACTAACTAAAAATGGCTCCCTTCCCTTCCCAATTGCCCTGAGCAAGGGGTGGAACCAAAACTTAACGATGGTGACTTGCCCTATGTCTGCAACTAAAGGAAGCCAACTTTCTGCAGAACCCCTGAAACCTAGGACTGCAAACAAACATTTAATACAAAGCAAATAAAGTTGGAGTTCCTGGTACAGTCGTACCAGTACAACAGATTTGATTATTCATGGGTTTGGTGAAAATGTTCTCTCTAGAGATCTCTAGATGCTTGCTTGGCCATAGATGTCCTGGATTTCACTGGTGAAATCTCAGAGGGGATGCATTCCTGCCTCCTTACACTGGTGTTTCTCAACCCTCCTAAAGCCGCAACCACTTAATACAGTTCCTCATGTTGTGGTGACCCCCAACCATAAAATTATTTTCTTTGCTACTTCGCAACTGTAATTTTGCTCCTGTGATGAATCGTAATGTAAATATCTGATATGCAGAATGGATTTTCATTCACTGGACCACATTTGGCACAAATAGCCCGTACGCCCAAATTTAAATACTGGTGGGGCTGGAAGAAGGGGATTAATTTTGTTATTTGGGAGTCGTAGTTGATGGGATTTATAGTTCAACTACAATCAAAGAGCATTCTGAACTCCACCAACGATGGAATTGAACCAAACTTGGCACACTGAACTCCCATGACCAACAGAAAATACTGGAAGGGTTTGGTGGGCATTGACCTTGAGTTTTGGAGTTGTAGTTCAACTACATCCAGAGAGCACTGTGGACTCAAACAATGATGAATCTGGACCAAACTTGGCACAAATACTCAATATCCCTAAATGTGAACACTGGTGGAGTTTGTGGAAAAGAGACCTTGACATTTGGGAGTCGTAGTTGCTGGGATTTCTAGTTCACCTACAATCAAAGAGCATTCTGAACTCCACCAATGATAGAATTGGGTCAAACTTCCTACACAGAACCTCCATGAGCAACAGAAAATACTGTGTTTTCTAATGGTCTTTGGTGACCCCTCTGACACTCCCTTGCGACCTGATCCCCAGGTTGAGAAACACTGCTCTAGATGTTTGCTTAGCCATACATGTCCTTGTTTTCACCATTGAAATCTCAGAGGAGATGCATTCCTGCCTCCTTACACGGTCATTTGAGACCATGTATATTTGAGGGCCTTTCCACACAGCCATATAACCCGGAATATCAAGGCAGGAAATCCCACAATATCTCCCACACTCAGGTAATGTGGGATTTTCTACCTTGATATTCTGGGATACAGATTTGTGTTGAAGGGGCATTTGTAGTCAATGCTGAAGACCATCTTGTGGGTTTCATAGATCCTAGAGTTGGAAGAAGCCCCAAAACCTATCCAACTCCATTCTGCATATGTTAAGGAAGAGTCAACCCAAGCCCTCCCAAACATATGGTCATCCAGCCTCTGTTTAAAACCTCCAGAAAGGGAGACTCAACCAGATTGTGAGGCAGCATATTCCACTGCCAAACAGTTCTTACCATCTGGAGGTTCTTCCTAATGTTCAGATGGAATCTCTTCTCCTACAATTTGAATCCATGGCTCCATTGTGTCCATAGCAGCAGAAAGTAATCTGATTCCATCTTCAATGTGACGCCGGGGCTGCCTCAGAATAAGGCCTTTGGATTTCCTTAAAACAGAGTCTTTAGATTGCTTAAAGGTTCAACAAAGTTCTTTATTATTGAAAACAAACAGGTACTTTAAGGCTTTCTTAACAGTCTATTGGCTCTCTCTCAATCTTGTCCACAGGGAACAGGCACTATCTTCATAACTGTAACTAATGGGGAAATCCTTAACTTCTAATCTGGGCAGTCTGTCTTTGCCTCTGTTGCGTGGAGCCCCTGCACCCGGTACCAACTGCGTCTGGCTTCCGCGAGTGACCCTTACCAAGCAGAGCTTTGTAGACTTCCAGGGGAAAAGGAGTTCAGGTTTCGGTGATGGCTGACTGAAGTCCCTCAGCAAAGGAACTGTAGGGCTGTATAACCCCGGCCAAGCTGTGGGCTGTATATCTCCCCAGCCAAGCCGTAGAAGACAAAGCTTTCTACAGGAGCTCTTGGTATTATGTCCTGCATGAAAGGCTTCTCTGTGTGGACTGAACCCAAAATGGCACCTATTCCCTCCAAAACCAAAAAGGGGGCGGGACCAGGGAACCTAACGATAATTGACAGGTGGCTTGCCCTATGATTGCAGCTAAAAGAAGCCACCTATCTGCAGAGTCCCTGAAACTTAGGACCACAACAAACATTCAGTGCAAAGCAAACAAAATTGGAGCTCCTGGTACAGCTGTACCTGCACAAGACCTTTGATCATTTTAGTCACCCTTCCAGTTGGTCAATATCATTCTTGCATTGTGATACCCAGAACTGGACACAGTATTATTTCAAATGAGGTCTGACCAAAGCAGAATAGGATAGGACCAGTGGTTCTCAACCTGGGGTCCCCAGATGTTTTTGGCCTACAACTACCAGAAATCCCAGCCAATTTACCAGCTGTTAGGATTTCTGGGAGTTGAAGGCCAAAAACATCTGGGGACCCCAGGTTGAGAACCACTGGGATAGGACTATTACGCTCCCTGATCTAGACCCTAAACTTTTATTGATGCAGCCTAGAATCACATTGGCCTTTTTAGCTGCTGCATCACGCTGTTGACAGTTTGTGGTCTACTAAGATCCTCAGCTTCCTGTCAAGCCAGGGATGTAACTACACTGCTTTACATTTCTCCCTATTGCAATGTCTTTGGTGAGTTTTGGCCTGCTCTGGCATCTGGGCAATGTTGGGCAACCAGGCAGATGTTCTCTCTCTTTCAAGTTGCTTTCCGCAAAGGGATACTGGCAGTCTTCTCCGTTGCAAACATCTCCCCACAGAGTATCAATGCCTGAGGCAGGCTGGTGATGTAACTAAGGTAGTGTCCCAAGAACAACAACACAATTGGGCTTTGGGCTGGTCCCAAATGATGTGGCTATAGGGAGCGGAAGTCCAATAGTCATGGATAGGTGCCAAAGCACACACTTGCTAGTTTGCCACAACATTCTCACTTTGAGCACGTCTGCCCTATACTGTTATACCAGTTTGGTTCCACTTTTGTTGGAAACCCTTGAAATGTTGTTTGGGAAAGTCCTGAAGGATTCTCAACTAAGTTTCAGAGCTGTCATGCAGGGGAAATTTCTAACTTCAAAAAAACCCTATAAATCTCATAATATGATGGGCCATGCTAGGTCAAAGAGGGATTAAATGACTATCATTTTGGAATGCTGACACATACTGGCCTCATCTGCAATGTAACATAATGCTGTTTGAAATTGCATTATATAGTAAGTCTATACTCAGAGCAATGGTATTCCCCGTAGTCACCTATGGATGTGAGAACTGGACCATAGGGAAGGCTGAGCAAAGGAAGAGAGATGCTTTGGAACTGTGGTGTTGGAGGAAAGTTCTGGACGCGAGAAGTTCCAACCAGTCCATACGTTTCTCTTTCACCCTCCATATACAGTGATAGCACCCCACTGTCCTGTCGTGTGTGTCTCCTTGTCCCTCTTGGCCCTCACTGGCCTATCTGTTGTCTGTCTTTATTGAAGTATGCAACCTATAAATTCGGGGTCATGAAGACACACCACTCCTAGCAGTGCTGAGGTTACAAAGAGAAACAGAGGCCATAAAAGAAAAGCAGTAAAATGTGACTAGTTGTTTGGGATTTTTTTTAAAAGTCTTTTGAAGCTAAATTGTGTTTGAAACCCATGAGCCTCTTTGTAAGAGAACAGAACGGAGTTTCCCAGTATCATCAGTTTGGGAGATAAGTTTAGTCCATGGATCAATGCCTGCAAACAAAATTCTCAAGTAGAACCCCAAAAGATAAAGACAGATTAGATGCCAAATTGCATGGCTTTGGTTGGAGAAAATGAGCAGCCAGAAAAGTCAAATCCCCTTTTAAGATGGAATAAGCTCAAAATGACCATGTTGGCTGGAACACATCATAGAATTATTGAATTGGAAGGAGAGTCCAAAGGCCATCTAGTTCAAACTCCTGAAAGATGACCATCAGCTATAGCTGATATAGCAAGCATCAACATCAGCGGTTCTCAACCTGGGGGTCGCGACCCCTGGGGGGGTCATTCGGCCATTTTTGGGGGGTCGCGAAGCTGCCTTGCCCGGCCCTGCCCCCTCCAAAATGGCTGCCGACCCCCTGAACCAGCCAAATGGCACTCCTGGCAGGCAAAATTATTTATGAAGTAGCAACGAAAATATGGTTGGGGGTCACCACAACACGAGGAACTTTATTTATGGGTCACCACATTACAAAGGTTGAGAACCACTGGTCTACACTATGGAATTAATGAGTTTTAACATCCTTGAACTCCCATGTCTCAAAGCTATGGAACCCTGGAAGTTGTGGTTTTCCAACGTCTTTAGTCTTCTTGTGTGAAAGGGTGATGGTGGAAATGTGTCTTTGCCCGTATACTGGAGGCTGAAGCAAAAGCAATTCCATGGAAAATCCATAAGCATTAATGCACTTTGTGGCAAAGTATAAATGCTGACTCTCTGCATGCTCCAGGTCTTGGATCAAGCCCCGACTCCATCTAATGCCCGTGAATGTGTTCATATCTTTACAGTATCTTCGCTGATGTGCTTCACCTGCGAAAATGCAGAATCCAATTGGGACTGCCTGAGCATGAAGACGTGTGCGGAGAACGAGAAATTCTGCATGACAAAATATTTTGGCGGAGGAATTGGTAAGTGGGTTTGCAGCTTGACTACCATATTTTCCGGCGTATTAGGCAATGTTTTAACCCTGGAAAATCTTATGAAAAGTCAGGGGGTCATCTAATACGCTGGGTCTTTTAAGCAGAGTAAGAAGAATGGGGAAAAGAAGGAGGAGAGAAGAGGTTTGAGCACAGCTGCCATTTCACCACAGCTGGAGCACTACATAATATTTTAAGTCTTTTAAGACTCTTAAAACTCTATCCTTTGCGGCTGCCAGCTCGAGCCACTGTGGTTCTGCTCTGCCAGGATGGGGAGAGGACAATTCACCAGTTCACCAGCTTGCTGGTGTCTTCCAGTTGGCTCCACAGGCTCCCACTGCCAGCTAGGGCCATTGTGGTGCTGTTCCACTGGGCCAGGGAGCGGACAATGCACTAGCTCACCACTTTGCTGGTGTTTTCCAGTCGGCTCCACAGGCTCCCACTGCCAGCTAGGGCCATTGTGGTGCTGTTCCACTGGGCCAGGGAGCGGACGATGCACTAGCTCACCACTTTGCTGGTGTTTTCCAGTCGGCTCCACAGGCTCCCACTGCCAGCTAGGGCCATTGTGGTGCTGTTCCACTGGGCCAGGGAGCGGACGATGCACTAGCTCACCACTTTGCTGGTGTTTTCCAGTCGGCTCCACAGGCTCCCACTGCCAGCTAGGGCCATTGTGGTGCTGTTCCACTGGGCCAGGGAGCGGACGATGCACTAGCTCACCACTTTGCTGGTGTTTTCCAGTCGGCTCCACAGGCTCCCACTGCCAGCTAGGGCCATTGTGGTGCTGTTCCACTGGGCCAGGGAGCGGACGATGCACTAGCTCACCACTTTGCTGGTGTTTTCCAGTCGGCTCCACAGGCTCCCACTGCCAGCTAGGGCCATTGTGGTGCTGTTCCACTGGGCCAGGGAGCGGACGATGCACTAGCTCACCACTTTGCTGGTGTTTTCCAGTCGGCTCCACAGGCTCCCACTGCCAGCTAGGGCCATTGTGGTGCTGTTCCACTGGGCCAGGGAGCGGACGATGCACTAGCTCACCACTTTGCTGGTGTTTTCCAGTCAGCTCCACAGGCTCCCGCTGCTAGCTAGGGCCACTGTGGAGCCGCTCCGCCTGGCCAGGGAGCGGATGATGCACTAGCTCACCACTTTGCTGGTGTCTTCCAGTTGGCTCCACAGGCTCCCACTGCCAGCTAGGGCCACTGTGGTGCCACTCCACCGGGCTGTGGAGCGGACGATGCACCAGTTCACTAGCTTGTTGTTGTCTTCCAGTTGGCTCCACAGGCTCCCACTGCCAGCTAGGACCACTGTGGTGCCACTCCACCAGGCCAGGGAGTGGACGATGCACCAGTTCACCAGCTTGCTGGTGTTTTCCAGTTGGCTCTACAGGCTCCCGCTGCTGGGTGTCAGCCTCCTGAAGGGCTCCTCCACTCCATGCTTGCCTCAGCTGACAGTGTGGTGGAGGAGGCAACACAAGGCTGGGAGCCACTGGGGAGGCTGAAGCCCGACAGCAGGAGCCTGGGGAACTGTCCTCTGGAGTATTAGCTATCCCTCCTGGTTTGGTTCCACCTGCAAATTTGATAAGCATGCCTCCTATTCCATCATCCAAGTCATTGATAAATATGTTGAATAGCATCTAACCTAGGACAGAACCACAGTATGGCACTCCACTGGTCACTTCTCTTTAGGATGTGGAGAAGGTGCCATTAGGCAGCACCTTTGGGGTCCGGTTGATCAGCTATTTCAATTTGGAACTACTGGAAAATTTGATCAGCATGCCCTCCATTCCATCATCCAAGTCATTGAGAAAGAGGTTGAACAGCGTTCGATCCAGGACAAAACTCTCTTGTTGCACTCCACTTGCCACTTTTTTCCAGAATGAAGAAGATGAGCATCATCCCAGTCATTGATAACATGCCTTCTCTTTCTCTTTTCAGGTACTGAGAACAAGCAGTCCATCAGCAAGGGTTGCTCAGCCACTTGCCCCCAGGGTGGCATCGACTTGGGCGTCATGGCCTTCTCCATGAAATGCTGTAATACCTCCTTGTGCAACACGAGCGGTGCCATCAGTGTCAAAAGCAGCACTTTGATGCTGGCCGTGGGCACCTTGGCCAGTTTATTCTACATCTTCGGAGCCAGGCTGTGAGGCAAGAGGCGGGCACCGTCGTTATCAGGAGCCATTTCCACACAAAACTCTCCGCTCGGGGCAACCCTCTGCCTGTTTCCAAGGGCTCTGTGGCCACCTTTGCTCGCAACCTTTGGCCACAGTGGTTCCTGTCCTTCTTGGAAACTTGCTCAGGGCCCAGTATGTTGAGCAGCGCAGTTTGGTGATGTTCTGAACAATGCAAATGGTTGCGCTTTTTCCATGTACTTTGTGGTCCCAAAACATAATAAAACAATTATATCAGTAAAATTGTCTTGAAAGCTATTGATTTATTTATTTACAGTATTTATATTCTGCCCTTTTCATCCCGCAGGGGACTCAGGGCGGATCACAATGCACATATACATGGGAAACATTCAATGCCATAGACAGACACAGACACAATTTAACATTCCAGCTTCATGAGGGCATGCTTTGAATTCTGGCCACCGGGGGAGCTGTTGCTTCACCGTCCACTTGTAACACCAATGGAGTACTTCCTCATTCCTTTGCACACTACTGGAGGGTTTTATGGCATTGTAAATTAGTTAATTAGCCTCCCCGCATAAGCGGTACCTAAATTTCCTACTTGACAGAAGCAACTGTCTTTCAGCTGCAAAGGTCAACAGCAAACTAGACAAATGGTCGGGAGCTTACTCTGACCTTGGCAGGCTTCGAACTCATGACTTTTCGGTCAGTAATGATTTAATGCAGCTGACTCCCAACCAGCTGTGCCACAACCCAGTCCTATCTTCTCATGTTCCACTGATATCAGTTAACTCTGTTATATAAATCTTAGGACCTTTCCACAAAATCCAAATTGAACTGGATTACATTTATTTTATTTATTATTTATTTATTTACTTCACTTGTATACCGCTCTTCTCAGCCATCAGGCGACTCAGAGCGGTTAACAACCAGTATCAACAACACAGTACAAAATCATTAATCATTTAAAACAGTAATATCAATTAATTAACATCAAAACATCAATACAACAATACAGCAAAACAACAATCCATCACGTCTCATCAATAGAATCAGCATCCGATCTCGTTGTCCATTAATCCATATTCCAGTAATCAAGCAATTGCACTGCTTAGTTGAAAGCCTGTTCGAAGAGCCAGGTCTTCACTCTCTTCCGGAATGCCAATAAGGAGGGGGCCAATCTAATGTCTGTAGGAAGGGCGTTCCACAGCTGGGGGGCCACTACTGAGAAGGCCCTGTCTCTCGTCCCCGCCAGGTGTGCTTGTGAGGCCGGCGGGACCGAGAGCAGGGCCTCCCCAGATGATCTTAACGTCCTAACTGGTTCATAGGAGGAGATGCGTTCGGACAGATAGGTTGGGCCAGAACCGTTTAGGGCTTTAAAGGCTAAAGCCAGCACTTTGAATTGTGCCCGGTAGCAAATTGGCAGCCAGTGGAGCTGGCGCAACAAAGGAGTTGTGTGCTCCCTGAGTGCCGCTCCTGTTAGCATCCTGGCTGCCGAACGCTGGACCATATGAAGCTTCCAAGCAGTCTTCAGAGGCAACCCCACGTAGAGAGCGTTGGCAGTGTGGACTCGGATAACCCATTTCAAAGCAGATATTGTGGATCATCTGCCTTGACATTCTGGGTTATATGGCTGTGTGGAAGGGCCCTTAGTTGATGTTGATCCCAGCTACAGTACCACATAATGCAGTATTGAACTACATTATATGGTCAATATAGACTCTCATAATGCTGTTCAAATTGCATTATATGCTGACCATATAATGTAGATTTAAATTGCATTAAATGGCAGTGTAGATCAAGCCACAAAGCCTAGGGCCCCATCTATGCTGCCATATAATGAGTCTACCCTGACCATATAACGCAGTTTCAAATGGCATTATATAGCATTGCAGATGAGTCCTTAGAAAGAATCAGTTTTGGACTACAACAAGTGATCACCTATTATTTATTTATTTATTTATTTATTGTTCAAACTTATATGCCGCCACTCCCCTAGGGCTCGAAGCAGCTTACAAAACAAACTGGAATCTAACACAAATTAAAACAACAGATCAAAGGTCAAAAGCCTGTTGAAACAGATATGTCTTACAAGTCCTGTGGAAGGCTGATAAGTCCCGCAAGGCATGAACTTCTGGTGGCAGAGTGTTCCAGAGCGATGGTGCCACTACTGTAACGTCTAGTTGCTGTTAGACGCAAGGTTTTAAAATTGGGAACTTCCAATAAATCTTGGTCCTCGGAACCTGAGAGATCTCTGGGGTTGGTAGGGGGTAAGGCGGTCCCTTAGGTACATCGGCCCCAGACCATGCAAGGCCTTAAAGGTGAGTACCATCACTTTGAAAGTGATCTGGTGCTCAATTGGTAACCAATGCAGCTGCACTAAGATTGGTGTTATGTGGCATCTCATTGGAGCTCTCGCAAGAAGCCGAGCAGCTGCATTTTCTACCAACTTGAGCTTCCGGATCACCGACAGAGGAAGGCCAATGTAGAGGGCGTTACAGTAGTCCAGTCTTGAGATGACCGTGGCCTGGATCACCGTAGCTAGGTCGTCCCTGGACAGGGAGGGGGCCAGCCGTCTAGCCTGCCGCAGGTGAAAAAAGGCGGTTCTGCTCTAACGGCGGAGACCTGGGCCTCCATCGTCAGCAGAGGGTCCAAAAGGACTCCCAGACTCTTTACCAATGATGACGGGCGTAACGCCTCGCCATCCAGGGTAGGCAGCTGGATATCCCCACTGCCCGGTTGACCCAGCCATAGGATCTCCGTCTTTGCTGGATTCACCCTCAACCTGCTGGCACGCAGCCATCCAGTAACGGCCTCAAGGCACTGATGAAAATTATCGGGTACAGAGTCCGGATGGCCTTCCATCTTCAACACAAGCTGAGTGTCATCAGCGTACTGGTAACACTCAAGTCCAAAACCTCGAACCATCTGAGCAAATGGTCACATATAGATGTTAAACAACAGATGACAACTCCCAGAATCCCCAGCGAAGCATGGGCAGTATATTTTAAAAATGGAATCTTTACAAGGTCTTTCCAAATCCTTTAAATATTATTCAGTGTGGAGATATGGGGCCAAGCAACATCCAAGTGTGGTCAAAATGGCAAAAATTATTACCGAAGATTGCTTAGGTTGGGAGCAGTTTGCTTTTGCTTAAGCACACAGGGAAGTGCAAGAACCTACCTGTTCCTTTCCTCTGCCCTTCAATGAATGCAAATTAATCTTGCACTCTGAGCTCAGTTTGCAGCAATTGTAATAAGCCAAGGACAAAAGGAAGAAAGCGGAAGGGAGAAGAGAGAAACGGGACATTTTAAAAAAAAGATGAAACAATGGGAAGGCAGAGGAGTAATCAAGTCTGTTCTGGCTAAATTAGATGATTGGAGGATATGGTGACATATGTGTTTATCTCTCTCTATATTTCCCTTCTATATTTCCCTTTCACTGTACTTATTCAGTATGTATAATCAAAAAAGTCTTCCTAAGTAGATATATAATCCAAAAAGTCTAGCAATAGGTGATAATCCATCAGAAAATCCAAATGTCTCTTACAGATGCAAAAATAATACAGTCTCAGAATAGCCCAAAGTCACAAGAACAGCTTAAGTCCACAAGCAAAACGTATACTCAGTAAAACATGAACAGGAACTCTCAGAATACTTGAATCCAAAACCAAGGTTTGACGTGAAACAAAACCCAGAGAACTAATGCCTAGCTTCTCACTTGAACTCCACGTTGCATGAACTCACCCTTGAGTAAACAAGTTGCTAATTAATAGGCACCCATGAAGTCATTTCTTTTCCYGTGAATTTTCTCCCCAACTTTCCCACGTAAATGCTCAGACCCAGGGCCGTAGCCAGAAAAAAAATTCAGGAGGGGTTGAAATTTCGGGGGGGGGGGGTTGAAAATTTCGCATGGGGGGGGGTTGAAGCCTGCCTCCTAGCTCACGCTGAAGCAAAGATCACAGCTGGGGGCAGAGCAGCCTACAATAGCCTGTAGCTCCGCCCCTGTCAACCACCTCCGCCAAGTCTTGCCTCCTTAATGAGAGCATTCAACACCCCCCCACCCCCAACTTGGTTGCTTCGCTACATCGGCTATTGCTGCAAGTAATGACAATGTGAATAAATTGTCAATATTTGCTTGAGATAGTGCTTGCAGTTCTGGAGGGACTCTTAATTTTTTGTCTCATAGACTTAGCATGGGGATTTGGTTAACCAGTTAAAATTCATGAGTAAACCAGGTTTTTTTAAAAAAATCTGAAACATTTGGGGGGGGGGTTGAACCCCTAAAACCACCCCCTCGCTACAGGCCTGCTCAGATGGGAAACTTTGAGAAGTCTCAAGCACCTTCAAACCAGTTCTTTTGGCACCAGAGGAAGACCCTGTGTCTTCAAACATAGGCCATTTGGACAGGGGTTGTGGATTGCTCCGGCATTTACAGCCATTGAGAAAGAGGGACCTGGAAAAGCTTCTCAGCTGCAAAACTCCTTGGACCCAAAACAACCAGAGACTGTAATGTACATTTTCCTTCACCCCTTTGAAACTTCCAGCTTATTGCCTTAAAGAGATAACTCTTTGTGAACAATAAAACTTATTTTGAGTTATCTACAGTGTTTGGGTCTTTAAGAGTTCCAGTTTCCTAAAGGAGAAGAAGAAGCAATCCCCAGGCGCGACGGCACAGGCAGGGGCGGCTCATCCATTACGCGAAGTAAGCGGTCGCAGAACACTTTTTTTTGCCAGGGGCGCAGAGGCACCTCTGTAAATGCCCCTCGACTGCCACTTGAGGAGTGCCCCCTCAGCTCACAACAGCCCTCACAAAAGCTGGGGGGAGCCTCGGCTTTCTTGCCTCGCTGCCGGGCGATCCTCTTCCCAAAGGGGCCGGGCCCTTGAGCCTCGCCTAGCCCCTCGTTCCTGCTCCACACGGCCACCGAGTGCGCGAGCAGAGCTGCCGCTCAATCATTCTCCGTGTTCGATCCCTTCCCCATGACCGGCTCCCTTTCCCAATCCCCCGGCGCTCCACCCGCCTCCTCTCCTCTCCCCAATCCGCGGGTGGGCCAAGGGGCGGAGCCACCGCGCCTGGCCCGCTTCGGGTCCGGAGGCGTGTCTGAAGACCCCAGCGTGCGCACCAAAAGTCGCCTCTTCTCCTGACTTTCTCTTCAGCCATTGGGACCAAGAGAGAGAGAGAGAGAGAGCCCCTCCGGCTGGAGGTATCTCCCACCTCCGCTCCCTCCTTTGTTTTTGCGCCTACCTTCAGGAAAGGTGGGCATCTCCACCTCTCGTCTCTCT